TCTGTTTCTATTTTTTTTGTTAAATTATTTGTTGATTAGATTCCATATATAAGTGAGCTCATATGGTATTTGTCTTTCTCTGACTGGCTTCTTTCACTTAGCATAATAATTTCCAGGTCCATCTATGCTGTCACAAAGGGTAAGAGATCCTTCTTTTTTATAGCTGCATAGTATTCCATTGTGTAAATGCACCATAGCTTTTGTATCTACTCATTTACTGATGGGCACTTGAGCTCTTTCTAGATCTTGGCTATTATAAATAATGCTTCAATGAACATAGGAGTACATGTATTCTTTTGAATCAGTGTTTCAGGTTTCTTTGGGTATATTCCCATAGGTGGAATTGCTGGGTAAAAAGGTAGTCCATTTTTAATTTTTTGAGGAAACTCTATAGTGTTTTCCACAGTGGCTGTATCAGTCTGCATTCCCACCAATAGTACACATCCTTGTCAACATTTGTTGTTTGTTGATTGATTAATAATAGTCATTTTGACAGGCGTGAGGTGATATCTCATCATGGTTTTAATTTGCATTTCTCTGATTAGTGACATCAAGCTCTTTTCATATGTCTATTGGCCATCTGAATGTCCTCTATAGAGAAAGATCTATTTAGATCCTTTGCCCCTTTTTTAATTGGTTGTTTGTCTTCTTGGTATTAAGTTGTATAAGTTCTTCATTAATTTTGGATATGAATCCTTATCAGATACAAACAAATTTTGTAAAATACCAATAAAATAAAGACCTTCTTGCAAACATTCTCAAGAATAAAGAAATGAAATTGGTGAATAACAATAATCAAATTCAAGAACATAAGAATAGTCTAGGACTTTTGAAAATAACAAAGGAGAATGATCACCAACGTTCCTTTAAGACACTCTACAGACAGCACTTCCACCAAAATGCTTTACAACTTTACATCTATTATTCAGGAAATTAAGGAACCTACAGAAAGTCCCCAAGCTGAACTTGGCTCCTAGACAAATCTCCTTAAAGTCAGGAATGGCTTTGTTCAGCGGTTGGGAGCAGCCTGGCAGAAGGATGCTCTCTCACTGGTGCCCCAGTGGATATGAAGGTGCAGCGACTCGAGTCTATCAACCAGGTAGGCTCTCCCAGCAGGTCTTTGGAAGGCACACCTCCATGGCCCCTACACTTAGGGAGGCATAATAGCTCCTTTTAGTCTTACTAAAGATCTATAAAATAAACAGTGGACTAGATTTCTTCTACGTGACTTCAAAGTACAGAAGTAGAACAAAGAGATGGATATTGCCCTCAGACAATGAAAATATGAAGAATGTATACTAATTGGAGTTCAAAAATGGAATGAACAGTTTCATAAATAATGAGAAATATCGTCACAAATTAATCCAGAAGGCCTGTGAACCCCCTTCTCAATCTTGAAGCCTGACACTTAGAAATAAAGGCCGAAAGGAGCTCTGGCCCATGTGGCTTGGTTGGTTGAGTGTCATCCCATACACCAAAAGGTCCCCAGTTAGATTCCCTGTCAAGGCACATGCCTAGGTTGTGGGATTCATCCACAATAAGGGACCCAGATGAGGCAACCAATTGATGTTTCTCTATCTCTTCCTCTCCTTCTCCTTTCATCTCTCTAAAATCAACAAAAACATTTTTTTAAACAGCAGAAAGAATAGAAAGAATTCAAACTATTAAGGAATATGATTTGTTCAAATGATTATAAGAAGACTCAGTTTGGAAGCTTTCATTTTTTTTCCTTTTGTAATAATGGTACATTTTGCATTTCAGTAGAAAACAGTAAAGAATACAGTATCTTAAAAAGCTATTGCCTCTTATTAGTGTGAACTGATTTTTCCCCTGCATTGGGTTAGAATCAAGGACTATAAACCAAACTAAAAGCATAGCCTTTCTGAAGCCTAATGTTCTGAAAAACATCAATAATGTTTGTCTCTCTTTTAATTATTATTTTTTTAAAATCAATCATATGTATTTGCCTTGTGGACACAGCATATGTCCCAGAGAAAGAATAATTTTAGATTTTATCCATGTGATAGTTTCTGCTTCCTTTGGGAGATAACAAAAAAAGAAAAAGCTTTTACACTCTATCTTTTCCCAGGCCACAGAAAGGGTTAAGTATGTTACAGAAGAGTCCTGAATTTGAGCATTGAAAATCTGGCAACCAGCCCAGAGTCCGTTTCCAAAAAGAAGCAGCTATCCTGGGCCTGTACAAAGGAGGTGGTTGCCCTAGCAACAGTATCTGATAAAAGAAAGCATGGCCGACAGGTACACACACAGATTGTTCCAGAGAGAGGAAAGCCATTCGGCTGCTGCTGCACTCGGTTGAGGAGTCATTTAGCAAATCTCAAGTTTTAAAGCTGAATCCTCTAATTTTCAATTGCAGAGATTTTCCGTGTGATATTTATTCAGGTCAGGATCAATGTATTTCATAATTTGGCATTTTTGTAGTGATAGCTGAGAATGGGTACGCCTTTTACTTAAACACAGCCACCACAGATGATTGTTGAGATACATCAGCTAACTCAAAATAGAAAGAGTTGCTCAAATTATGCACTGATTTTTTCCCAAGGTTTTGAATTCAATTCTTCAATATGTCCCAGTTTCCTTTTTTTATCCTTATGCGGAGCTATGACTTTCATATGAAACATTCAAACTGCTCAGAGCCTTCATTATTTTCTTTTACATGATTATTTGACATTTGTGCTGTCATCTTTTTAATAAAAGACTAAACATTTTTTCAGTGTCCTGTGTGTCCTGATTATTTTTAAGTGAATATTTCTTGATGAAATATTTTGTGAAAATAACTTTCGAGATTTTTATAAGAAGCTCTACAGTATGTATAGTCGCTAATGATGCTTGCATGATTATAAAGACCGGATGCTTTTTTAAATATGTTTTTATTGATTTCAGAGAGGAAGGGAGAGGAAGAGAAAAAAAGAGATATCAATGATGAGAAAGAATCATCGATTGGCCACCTCCCGCACAAGCCCACAACCAGCATGTGCCCTCGACTGGAATTGAACCCAGGACCCTTCAGTCTGCAGGCCGTCGCCCCATCCACTGAGCCAAACCAGCCAGGGCAAGAATGGATGCTTTTTTTTCTGAGAAGCTTGAAAAGATTGCTTACTAAAGTATCAGTTTCCCTAAAAGTGCACTTCAGACGGATCTATATATACTTTTTAGCACAATTTATTCCTGTTGTGTTGAGTTCTTCAGTCATACTGTCATCAGCACCTGAGCTTAGTGAACCAGTTTGTAAAAACATACACTTTTATTCCCCACTCCTATCCCTGACTAGCCAATTCCACTTTCAAAAAACTATATAACACAAGGGAAAACATTTAATAATCTTGTAGGACATCCAGGTCCTAATCCTCATAGGTCTTGGGTAATATCCTTAGCCTCCTGAGGTCCTAGAGACAGGATGCACTTTCTGTAAATGACCTCTAAGGTTCTTACCTGTGCTGTCCCATGAAAATGCACCATAGCCTACTGTGAGCACAAAGCAAGGTTCTGTGTGAGCCTACCCATTCTATTTTGACCAGGGCTTCTTTAGTAAGTGCAAGTTTTCTCTGCACAAACACTCCTGATTTTCCTCAGCAAAATACTATCAGCTTTAAAATTGTAGGTAAACAGTTCATTATGAACAAAAGACTCCAATAGATATTACTCGGGGATATTTTAATGCCTTCTGATCTGCTAGGTCCTTGGATTGGAGTACAAAATCCCTGGAACAAATCTAAAAGCATGCAGGAAGAGTGTATTGATTACTTCTTAAAAATGTGGAATAGCAAAGCATAGAGTAGGACAGAAATCGATATTATCTAGTTTTCTTTGACATAGGAGCAGGCTAGGACAATTTCAGGGTTGTCCATGATTAACTTGAAGGGCTCTCTAATCCAGTGTTTCAAAAATGTGAGCAGTACCTTTTCAAAGGAAAAATATATGAACCCATATTTCCACTGTTGATTCGCATTGTTTTGATTATGCTTGTAAATTTTTATAAATATAAAACTAGGTATAAACATCTTATACTCAGGGGACTTAGTCAGCTACAGAAACAAATTTACAAATTTAATATGAACTAAACTCCAAAGCCAATAAAATTAAAACTAAATTTATGTTATTAATGTAATGTGGTGAGTCATCTTGATATGCTGAAACTTAAGCTGTTTGAAATTTGAACATTGTACTGACTGCCACAGCGTGGTTTCAAATGTGTTTGTCATGCCTATGCTACTGGGTGCCATCTGTTGCCTCAATTTACTTACCGCTTTTCTCTACCCACACTCACGTGAAACTTTGTGTCATGATTTATGACATCACTTGGCCATCACAACTGGGAAAGCATGGTGCACGTCCTTAGTAACATCCTATTCTTTTCTTGGTAGTTGCTGACTATCAGAGGTGTACCATTCGTGCCATTATGACCTAAACATAAAAAGAATATAGAGGCAGTTCTAGTGAAGTCATCTATGTGATCCAACATATGATCATGTGGTCACATGATGCAGCATCCATTTTTTTTTCTCTGTAGACTATAAAAATAACAACAGAAAAATCAAGAAATCATTGTTAGAAAATTCACAAAACCCTAATTGGAGAAACAAAATTATGCTTTTCGTCATTTCCAAGGTAAGTTTTCTCAAAACCCAATTTCTTCGTGCATGTTCACTGTTGATTGACTAACCAAGCAGCATTCTCCTTTCTTTCTCCCTTTCTGGCCTGTTCATAGGATTGAGCAAAGCCAAATTTTGACTTTTACAGACTCCCTTCCAGGTAGGGTGGCAAGAGGATTTTATTTTGGCCAAAGAGACAAACGTGGAGGATGGCTCTGATTGCTGGAACAGTGATTTGCTTTCCTGATAAAAGTGACAGGTACCAAATGGTAAATTGTTTGTCCTTCTGTTGCTGGAGGAATACACTAGTGGAATCCCTCCATTGTTTGTGAGAGTGTGGTTCTTGGGCCATTGCTGAAATCAGAATTTTCAGAAGCTACAAATGGGAGGTGAGAGGTGGTAGAAGGTTTTATTGGCATGGAGTTACATTCCTCAGTTTCCAATGTCCCATTTCCCCCAAGCTAGTCCTAAAAGAGTGGCAGCTGGGAGTTCAACAGAACCAGAAGGAAGGCCAGTGAGCTTCCGATCAATGTAGCAGCTGGGTGTGGTTCAGCATCCAAGCTAATTAAAGTCCATTAGTCCATGTGTGGAGTCCAACTTGGCCATGAGCCATGTGGGCACTGGGGAGCTCATCCCCCTGCCACAGGAGAGCCATGAACCCTGGAAATGAGAGGGAGAAAAGAGACAGAGAGAACTCACTTCTTTGTTTGGAAGCTAAAATATTTAGGTTTGGCACACTTGCAGTGCCCACGCCCATCCTGGCCACTAATTTGTCCCCAGGTATGACTGGCAGATAGGTAGGCACCTTTTCACTCATATCTTACTGGGCATGTATCTAAACTGCCTTTGTCTCATTCCTTCCCCTATGGCTCAGCAGGGAATAGACTTGGAAAGTGTTAAATGCAGCTTTTTGGCAAAGCTGTATGTAATAAATGGCATGCCTATATTATCTGGTCTCTCCTTTCAATCCTTTCCGTTAAATAATAGCCAGGTTATTACAATGGCACCACGTCCTCTTCCCTATTGTTTCTGCCTTGAACATAGACTGTTTTGTTTTTTTTTTGATTCCTGGAAATATGTCAGACATCTCATGAGAAATTAAGGCCATTAAGTGTGAAAGAGAAGAAAGATAAGAAGATCCTGTGTCTTTGGTGATTTCTAGATTTCTTACTAGGTAAACAATGTATGTTCCTATGGTGTAAGCCACTGTTAATCAGAAGTCCTGCTTCTCACATCTGGAAACATTTCTGATACAGAGATCTTATATTATCTTCCACCAGACCTTAGATATTAATTCTGTATTTTTACATGAATTACTGTATGCGTGTATACATACTAAGAGTCTTTGGCCCTTTATAACAATGTGATTTGGCTATAATTCGCTGCTACAGATAAAATTACAGAAAAGATGAAGGCTATAGTTCCTGCTGTTAGGTCTGTATAGCATTCATGCTCCTCTGAAGTGTTTACTTAAATTGTCGTTCTTTGAACCTAAAGTTGAAAGGGCATCTTAGAGAGGTTCTGTCATCTACCTCCCTCATTTTTATAGAACAGAGATGTCATGTGACCTTCCTGAAGACCCACAGGCCAAAGGTGACCGAGAAGCAGATAGTGACTGGCTAGCCACAGGAGTTAACTTACTTTGAAGAGTGTGGTGTTAGGAGGAACTCGTCTCAGTAGGGATTAATGTTATTTCTAGCTGACTAAAAGCAGATCACTCAGCTGGCATCTTCTGCAACAACACAGTACATATTTATTAGCAGATCAGTGATGGGTTCCACAGTGTCTACAGACCTTTGTACAAAGCTCTGATAAAACCAGAGAAGCCAAAGAAACTACTGCATTCCTCACATACTTGAATTATGGTCCTTCTACTTTGTGAAAACCCATTTGAAAGAAAATACACAGCTGTGATAAAGTTCCTTCTTTATATAAAGCATAATTTTCTTATTTTAACATAAAGGATGTTTGAGAGATGCAACATCACAAGTGCTTTGGGCAGCTAAAAAAATACAACAGAATTATTAAGGAAATGTCAAAGATAATATCAGAATATAGTGTGGCCTTGCCACATAGACCAGTGGTTTTCAAACAAGTTCTTAAAATCACTTAGGGTTTTAAAAATATCAATGTCCAGGTACAAACCCCAAGATTGAATCAGAATATCTTAGATGGTACTTTGCCTGTAATATTTATTTGTTTGTTTGTTTATTATTAAAGCACCTCCTGGGTTTCTAATGTGCTGACAGGTTTGGGAACCACTAACATAAACCAAAGGCAAGCTTATACATTTAAAAATGCTGCATCCTATCCAGAAAAAATACATTTTCTCCCATTTACCTTACTTTCTCTCATCTTTACTAAATAATAGGTTTCCTTTATGTCAAATTTCATGAGTTGTTACTTTCAGTCCTTGTCTAGAAGCTCAAGATGAAAGAGACAATATAGCAATCCACAATCGTTATTTGACTCAAGAAAAGGAAATTATTACAAACATAAATATTCCAATGGAGGCCATATCACCAGATGCATGAAGAGAAAAATAAACCCAGCCCTCAATTTTTTTTCTGCTCATAGTCTTGGACTCCAATATGACATATAGCCCTTCAAATGGACCTGGTTCAAAGGTGATGGCATAGTCATCAAGCTAGACTTGACCTTCTTCTTTTGAAAGTGGTCCTAAACTCAGATTATCTAAGTGGGTATTGGGTTGTGCTTCATGACATCCTCAAACAATACCCAAAGAACACTGCATCAAATAATGCCCTAACTAAGGTTGCCTCCAACTGGGGGAAGAGGCCAAACCTTTGAATCAAAGGAATAAATCAGCATCACAGCATGCTGCGATCATAGCCAAAGAATCAGAACACTCTCAAGATAAAAGGCAAAATAATACATTCATATCACTAGATGCCAGGTGCATTCTGAGTATCACCAAATTCCTGGTATGTGAAATAGGTGTATGCCCTTGGGAATCACGGCCAGGGTTATCTATGTATTCCTTATGTATTGTTTGGGAAAGCTTTGATAGATGAGAGAATTAGAGGTAGCCTGAGTAAATTTGGTGGCAATAAAATGGGGAAAAGCTTAGGAACTATTTTATATCTTCTATATGTCTGCATTCCTCCTTGGAAGCATGACTCACAATTAAGAGAATTCTCTTAGCATCTCTTAAAATCTGAATAAATCCTTTGGAAGTGTAGGGAATCTAAAGATCATTTTTTAAAATTTTGTGACCCTAAATAGCTCACATTCTAGGGAAGAAATGAGAGAATAATAATCACTAAATTATTTGTCTGATTAAAGCTCAGTTATAGAAGTGAGACCAGAGGTTTCCAGGTATCAGCCCCAGTGGAATGAGGAGGCAATGACCATGAAATACAAGTCTTGGAATTGCCCCAATCTTTTTTGTGATGTCATTTGCCCTTCAGTGATTCCAGTCAATATTACATAGTAGAAGTTTCTATACCAAAAGCCAAAGATGGGGCAAAAGATGGGGCAAAGTGTTTGCCTATATTGTGTGAGTTCTCTCAACAAAATACTGGTCAGTATGATAAAAAAAAAAAAGAGAGAAAAAAAAAGTCCTATGTTTAAGTTCATCTTTGGAGGCTGGAATTTGGTCGCATGCCTTTCCAAGGAGTCTGCCTCGAATTGATTTGCACTGGTATCATCAACATTTGGGAAGAGCTTTCTGCCATCGTTGTCCAGGTTGGAAAATCTATTTTCTATTCAGTTCTAGCAAAACATGAATAACTTATTGAATACCCAAAATAGCCAATACAAAGGTAAACATTATTGGTATATTTGAAAGAGGAGGAGTAGACTTAGGGCAAGAATGGAAGAGGAAGTAAAATTTTATAAAACTTTATATCCTCTAGGAGATGCTAGCCAAGTATTCGAATGGTGGAGATATCACTAATGAAGGAGGTCCATTCAGCAGCTGTGAATGAGTGACTATTATTGAAACCTGGGCAACAGATCCCAACTTTTTAAAAATACCAAGAAAATTCTCTTCAGAAAGATGATGAAGCTGTGAAGTCTTCATTATTATAACACCAGATTTATGGGAAGGCATGACCTGGAGGGCCAGGAAATGGTTAAAAGACTCTGATAACTTATCAGACTAGCAAATACTTATCAAAAATTATCAAATCCATGGTTGGCAACAGTACAGAAGAAGAAGTAATTACCTCTTAAGGTACTGGCAGGAGTTTGGCAACATCTATCAGAATGTTAACATTGTACCTTTAACCAGAAACTCCATTTCAGAGAATGCATCCTAAGTAAGTAATCAGCAAATGTGTAAAGATGTTTGTAGAAATATATCCATCCTGATTTCTGTTACATCTGATATCAAAAATTAGAAATACCTCAATGTCCATCAGGAGGAAATTAGATACATAAATTACAGGAGTGCCAACAGAATCCCAGGTGACCATTAAAAAACATAATGAAATTCTTGGGCTATTTTGTACATGAAAATATATAAATAACATGTTTATAGTCAAGTCAAAATGCTGATAAGGAATAGTATGAATGATAAAATTCCATTTTTATTTTAAAATGTATATACATAAAAAAATCTCTGAGAGTATGAATTTAAATGCTAAAGAATATACAATAAAGAATTAGCAATAATTGTCAATGGGCAGGACATTTTGTCTTGAGATACTTTATTCCTTCATTATACATATTTATATTGATTCTTCATATTTCTATATTTTCTGAAATGTTATAAATATGTAACCTTTATTATTAAAAAAAAACAAAACAATGACTCATGTCCTTTCTTTTTTTAACACTTAACAGACATAGAGGTTTGTGGTTGTCAAAAGTCAGGAACAAGAAAAGGTTCCGGAATCCTGAGTGTCGCATCAGTTAGGAATCAGTGTTATGAGTTTCATAGGAAAACTAAAGCTGCCTGCCTCGGCCAGAGGTCACACACATTTGGGGGAGAAAGCTAACTATATAATTACTTTCCAAGAGTGAGGCATTCAGAGTCGTTTAGTAATCACCTGGGCTCACATGAATTGTGCCTTATTCTACTTGACCTGTCTGTAACTTTAATAATGTTAATCATACCCTCCTTCCAGAAATCTCGTTCTCCTTAACTTTTAATTTATCACTCTCTCCTGCATGGTTAAAAGGCTCTGTGAATTTCTTTTTAAATGCTGTCAATTCATTTCTTGTTCCCATCCTGTGAAAATGCATATTCCCTAGAGTTCTTTCATTAAGCTTCTGTTTTGTTTGTTTATACTGTTCCTGAAAAATCTACTTTGTACTCAGTTTCACTCATTCACCCCTCATTAGTTTGTTCACCAACATTATGACCCATACCTAGACTCAGATACACATCTGTTCTGTGGACATTTCCAATTAAGTGGCCCAAAGACCTCTTAAAGTCAATATAAACTGAAATAAATGTATTGCACGCGCGCGCGCACACACACACACACACACACACACACACACACACACTTCAACCACACATTATTTTTTTTGTATTTTCTTTTGATAAATGCTACTGTCAGCAACCTCTCCAAACACCAGAGCCTGCAGAGTCAACCTCAACACTTTCTCCCTCACTATTCCACAAAGTCCTATAAACTCTGCCTCCAAAGCAACTCACTTATTTACACTCCACTTTCCACTGCCACTGCCACTGCCACTGCCCTGGTTTAGACCAAGCACGTCAAACTCAAAGGCTAACACGGGCCAAATAAACAAGTTTTAAGTGTATGTGGGCCGCAAAAAAACAAAAGCTTCAATTTTTATAGAAACATAGGTTTATTTCGATAGAGACATGCTGAATACAAAGGGCTGAACTAAATGAGTAATCATTAACATAAAATAATAGAACATTTTAATAAAAATTAATATTTTTTCTTGAACATTAACTTACCAGACACTGAATAACTGCACAAATTAATAAGCGTAATGCAAATAAACCTATTTTTCTTGTTCTCCGAAAGTGAAGTATTTCCTGTTGTGCACACCAAACAAGTGAGTACAAAACTAATGATGTGGCAATTGGCTGCTAAAATATTCACTGCTAGTATTAGTGCAGAGAAATGGTGCGCCTGTATGTAAGGTGTGTAAGGAAAATTAATGCAACATGATTATAGTAATCAGTCATTAGTGAACATTGTAGTTCGTTATTAATAATTGTGTATAAAAGTTCGTTATTAATAATTATGTAAAAATTAAGTTAGGAAATTTTTATTAAAATGTTTCTTAGATACCGTTATATTGGCTGGGCCACAAAAATATTCATTGTGTGCCGCATGCAACCCACGGGCCGCGAGTTTGACATATTTGGTTTAGACCCTCTTTATATATCTTTACATTATTTTAATAATCCTTAAATGGCCCCTGAGTCTTACACAAAGCTTACATCAAGCTTTTTCCTGATATGCATATCTAATCATGTCATTCCCCTATTAAATTCTTCATGGGATCACCATTGCCTTCAAATTCTCCATCATCTTTTCTTACCATTTCAGACTCAAATATTTTTGTATCCTCACATATACTGTATCTCTAAGTTCCCCTTAAAGTAGTAAACTTTCTTATGCCTCCAAACATTTTTTCATTCCCTCTACTTTCAAGATTCAATTTGTCAAAGACCCACTTGAGAGCCACTGGAAAGTTAACTAGGAGACAATTCCAAATCAAGAGAGTTATTATTTGGGGAACCTGAGATCACATAATCAGGGAGAGAACCAGAATCATTTTCAAGAAAAACCAAGATTGGTGAAGTAATGGAATTTTGTGGCAAAATAATTGCCCTTAAAGAAAAGAAGAAGAAAAAAGGGAAGGACAAAAATAGGAGAGGTTAATGTGTGGTCATGTTAGTTTAAAGAAAGAAGGTTCAAAAAAGAGACCTTGGCTAGTAGTTCAGATTAAGGCAATAAATTTACAGTTGGTGCTGGCAAGCCACTTTAATTTGGAAACTGAGAAATGAAGGCAAGACAAGTAAAATTGTTACCATTCCCCCAGTAACCAAGTCCATCAGTCTCTTTGACCATTGTTGATCGAGTCAAATATGGAGACATGTGACCCAAACTAGACCCTAATTCTCTCCCTTAGGAATTTATAAAGTGGAACAGGGACAACCAGAGAAAAAGGACAGTGTGAGTTGAGTTATATCATGACAATGGCCTATTGGTGGCTGTTTCTGACCTCCCCAGAACAGCCACGGTTTCCTCCTTCTAGGAGGCTTGGTTTGGACTACCCAGAGCTGTCACTAAATTTCCTTTTGGACTGGAGTGCGGGAAGTCACCACTTGCCAATACTGTCAGTGCACCAAGAAACGGAGAAGGCTGATGGACCTTGGGCATTAGCAGGGCTGGCACTAAGCACCTCATCTGTTTAGATAGTGGTGGCTCAAGGCAATTCCCTAACCAGATAATCCTTTTACTGTTTACCAAACTTTACCTTTGATATGCCTGTATGCATTGCTAAAGGGCAAATGTGTATTCAAGTAAATGAATAGCGGACCAGGCCAGAAGTCTGCGTGTCTCTTCAAGAAAGAGGCTCCTCCTTACCCCCAATGCCTTCTAAAATCATGGACCAGGCCAGAAGTCTGCGTGTCTCTTCAAGAGGCTCCTCCTTACCCCCAATGCCTTCTAAAATCATATTTCTTGTATGTCATTTTCATTTGTGCATCGGCCCCTCCTTCAGATCCTGAGCCCAGTCGTGCAGGTCGCGGCACTGGAGTATACCAAAAGGTCTTCGAATTATCTGAGAACAAAGCAAGTTGGAGGACAACATGTTCAATATGATTTCTATTGTGTAAAAAAGAAGGTTGTTTATAATTTAGATTTAAAACAACAACAATCTGGATGCCAGGAATGCATAGATTTCCAATGTTGTCGAAGGTGCCTGCTGACTTGCATGACAGTAAGCCAGCTGCTCTCCTGGTTGGTGTTGTGCCTCTAGTTAGCATCATGCAACCTGACTGTAGATATTGTGAAAATACTCAACAGAGATAAGCAGACACCAGTGAAGAGAAGTGTTTGTTGAGGGCAGGGTGTGTCTTAGGTAAAGCTGTAATACAGCACTCCCCACGAGAGGATCCCTCTGGAAGAAATGTTTCCTACACACCCCTCCACATGGACTTATTAGATATGTCAACAACTAAAAGTTTGCTTTCCAGTAGATAAATAATGAAAATTAAATGTTGGAAGAAATGAGCCAGTATTATCCTGGTGAAGATATAGCCATACAATCATACCAAAGCAAAATAATTCCAGGAAAGACATTGTTCAAATTGACCTATGTAGCACAGGCAAAGAGCAAAGTAAGAATTGAGATAAATCAAGGTTATAACTAAGGGAGATGAACTCTGACACATCCAAAGACTTGGGCAAAAACAGGAAAGCAAGTGGTAGGGACAGTAATAAGCAGTGTCAGACACTGAGGATTATTCAGGATGAATATGTAGGTGCTAGAAGAATCTATTTGGGAACACTTTACAATATGTCCCTCAACCCCCATGTTCATTATTTTATGGCAGCATTTACCCTACTGAGATCATTGACTATCTCCAGCTGTTCCCCACAAAACTCAATTCATGAAGGAAAGGGACTGCACGTTTACCTCTGGATGCTCAGCATTTAATAGAGTATCCAGCACAGGGGAGACCATGAATTGTTGCTGAAAGCATGTTGAATGAATTAAGACATTAGCATATATTTGGAGCACAAAAGAAGCATTTTAATCTAACCTAGATAACTATGGAAGAGAATGACAGAAGCAAATATATTTAAATAGAAGTATTTCTAAATATGCAAATAAAATGCCTTCATATAACTTTCTTTACCAAATTGTAAATAGTGGCCTTATTCTTTGGAGAAACTTGGAAACATTGAACTGATGCTGGAGATAGGAGGAAAAAAAGCAAATTCATCTTGCTTGCAGCAAATTAAAGTATGCATTTTCTTCTTTTGCCAAATCCCCATATTCCAGGGGAATAATATCTTTGTGCTTTTCCTGCATATTTATGATCATCTGGTGAAGTGTTTGTTAATCTTTAACCTAGCTGGGATCAATCACAATATGCCTTCACACCAAGTAAAATATTTGCACTGCCTTATTGGACACTGAGAACTGTATTTAAAAACTGCCTGTTCATGGTGTGATCACATCTTAAAATGTCCCTGTATCTATCAAAGAACTATTTATTTTAAAGTATCAACTCCAACTTTGAAACCTTGGGATGCAGAATTAAAATTAGTAGAAAATCAGAAATCAGAGTAAATCTAATTGCATTAAGATTTGTTCATGATCAGATCATGAACCTAATCCCTCCCAAATGTCCCCATAGCCCTGCTGTATATATCAGGATGCTATATGCTCTTTTTCAATTGCAAAGAACAACAGATGAGATAGTTACAAAGTAGGCATTCAAAGTTCAATTTTAATTAGCTTATCTAGTATTTATAGAAAGGTAATAAAAAGAAATCTCACCCTAGCCGGTTTGGCTCATTGGATAGAGCGTCAGCCTGCTGACTGAGGGGTCCAGGTTTGATTCCAGCCAAGGGCACATGCCTGGGTTGCAGGCTTGATCCTCAGTAGGGGGCGTGCAGGAGGCAGCTGATCAACAGTTGTCTCTCATCATTGATGTCTCTACCTCTTGCTCCCTCTCCCTTTCTCAATAACAATATTTTTTTAAAATGTCAAGGAATTGCCATGTATGATAAAACCATTCTTCTCGGGGTCCAGGTTTGATTCTAGTCAAGGACACATGCCTGGGTTGCAGGCTTGATCCTCAGTAGGGGGCGTGCAGGAGGCAGCTGATCAACAGTTGTCTCTCATCATTGATGTCTCTACCTCTTGCTCCCTCTCCCTTTCTCAATAACAATATTTTTTTAAAATGTCAAGGAATTGCCATGTATGATAAAACCATTCTTCTCAGTATCTACAAAAACTTCAGCACTAGAGTGAGTTAGGCAAACCTTGGAATTGCATTCTACTTGTGAGAAAATCCAAAATAATAGAGTGAGAAGGCTTTCAAGATGCTTACTTTAAATGTTCTAAGATTCAATATGGCTCTTTTCTGGCTAATATTCAATGTTTAGAAAAGACATGTCCTGCTAGTAATATTATAGAAATAGAGTTAGAAAGTTAAAGACCCCATAGCGTAGTGAAAAGGTTGAGCTAGAACTCAATATGAATAACAGCCCCACTATTCTTGACAAGTTATGTAGCCCACTTGAGTCTCAGTCTACTCAATTGTAAGATGAGATAAACAATATCTATCTCACTGAGTTTACAAGAGGAGTGAAGAAAATGGGATAAAGTAAAATTCCTGTTACAAGGTAAGTGCTATAGAAATTTATCTGTTTGGGAGGCCTACTGATTTTTTTTAATACATGATAATTTGGATACAAAGGGAAAGCATATGTACAAAGGTGAAGAGAAAAGACAAATATAGTTTATAAAATCAAAGCAAATTGATATGCTGAAATCTAAATGTCACTTGGGGATGAAAAATCTGTATTGATTTCTGATGGCTTGGACATGGTGTGGAGTCAGCCATCACCCCACAATTCTTCCAGCTCTTTGACATTCAGAAAATGATCACTTAGCCACTGAACTTATAGTTTGATGGATCTAATAAAACCTGTATTAAATTGTTACCCTCTCATGTTCCATTGTCTCTGTAAATTGAGGAAAACCCTGATAGAAATCCTAGCTAAAATAATTTGGGAAAATATCATTTTATTCATTGCCTTTGGACTGAATTCAGAGAATCTCTATTTTTACATATATTGCCTTTGACAAACTTCACTTGAGATTAAAAATATTTTCAATTTTATATTCGTTATCATCAGCATCTCTCCATTAGCTGTGATGTGTCTTTAAGGTTTTGATCTAAATTTTACCAACATTTGGAAAATGTACAGTCTGAATAAACAATTGGCTCAAAGCAATCTGTTAAATTCTGCTAATCCCATCACCCATCATTTTATCAGGAATTACAGAAAAAAAAAGTAAAAGAAATTTTCTCATGGTTTCTGCCCAGAGGAGTACTAATGGGTTATGAACCCTTTCAGAGTCATAGAGGAGAGAAAGAGAGAGAGAAAATGGTTGCCTTGGTAACAAGGCCATCATTTTACAGGAATTACAGAAAAAAAAAGTAAAAGAAATTTTCTCATGTTTCTGCCCAGAGGAGTACTAATGGGTTATGAACCCTTTCAGAGTCATAGAGGAGAGAAAGAGAGAGAGAAAATGGTTGCCTTGGTAACAAGGCAGACCAATCAGCTGCATACACACTCTCTCCAGATCATCTAATTTATTCAGTAAATGCAGGCTAGAACAGGTGGCTAACCTAAATGATGCCAAAAAGCTTTAGTTCTCAAACATACACACCCTCTACATTTTCTTATACATAAAGTTTCATTCTTGCCCTTCATAAAGGAAGAGTTAACGGCGCATTTCCGTGTGCAATGTATCATATTAGTAGTCAGAGGAGCTGTCAGTACTTGTCACTTATGAATTTTCTAACAAAAAGAAAGGTATGTGATTTCAAGACTCCTATCAGAAAATTCCATTAGTTGTATTTTAATAAATCAAATATCGCTGTGATTTTTTAATACCAAGAGAGTTTCCCCTACATTTCACAATTGCTCACAATAATAAAGCATCATGGACATAATTACTGGCCTGGTTAGGTAGCTCAATTGGTTAGAGTGCCATCTGGAAAGGGATACACCAAGGTTGCAAGTTCGATCCCAGTCAGGGCACATGCAAAAATCAAACAGTGAATGCATAAATGAGCAGGACAACCAATCAATCTCTCTCTTTCTCTCTAATTAATAAATTAAAAAAAGGAAAAAGCAATTTCATTTCCTTAAGCCCTCCGAAAGCACCTGGGTATTTGTAAATAATTCTGGATTGTAAAGGGGAAAAAAGAGAGAATCATAGTAAGCTAGTTAAAGCTCTATTAATTATAGCATTGAATAACCCCATTTGTTAAATCTGAAGTTATAAAGAAAAATCTGGAAAACTAACATTAAAGCATAAACTTTTTCATACTATATAAGGACTTCTATGGTCTGTGCCAACCTCAACTCCAAACTCTTCCAAATACATCCTGATCATCAATCAGCAAAACATCAATGAAATCTGCCCTGCACATATCTGCACTTTGCATTTGCTGTTGTTTGTGTCTTAACATGTCCTTCTGGTGCTGGACTGTCTTCTCAATGCATATCTATCCCTCAAGGCTAAAATCAAACAATTTCCCTCTCCAAAGCCTTGCTCACCTCCCCAGGAAGAATTACAAACATCACACTGTGCTCCCTCTGCAAGTAATTGCATTGTTTGTTTTTATATCTACCTTCCTCATCAGATTGAGTCCTCAGACCTCAAAAGCAAAGACTATGTTTTATTCACTCTTCATCTTGAGGTAGTACCTGACTTATAATATGAAATAATAAATATTTGATAAAAAGATTAATTAATGGTTGAAAGAATGAGTGCATGAATGAATGAAATTGTGCTTTTTTGACACAAAATCTGCACAAACCTACTATATGACAAAACATTTTTTAAATTAAAGTAAAAAAATCTCACTAACTTAGACAAAATCCAATGCAGTGTGTTTGTATGAGTAAAGAATCTGTATATTTTGAAAACTTTTCTGCAAATGAAGTCTTAAATGCAGCTTTTCTTTTAAACCTGAATGTCATTCCATCATCCAGACTGCTATTCCTGCTCATTTCCCTCTCAAAGCATTTCTACCAAAAACCACAGGCTTCTAAAAGCAGAGCTTGACAGTATGGACTAGAGTTATTATCATTTCAATTTTGCCTTCCTACTTCCCAGTACATGGTATTCACATAAGCAAGTGTTTGTTGAAAAATGACATTTAAAATAGGAAACAACATTAGCTGGGAAGTTCAGGTCTCCGCATGTCTCTATTGATCTGCTTTTGAAGTCTTTCAATTGTTTCCAAAGGTGACCCTTGCTGCCTCAGGATGTTTCCGTGGCAACAGGAATGCCTGCTTCCAGCATGTAGAGAAAAGGCATCTCTGTTTGTTTTATATCCCAGCACCGCCCAGAGATGCTATGTTCCTTCCAGGAAAGCAAAAAGCCCTCATTTTTAAGTAGCAGATCGTCTCTCCAGTTCATGGGCTTCCCATTACTCTGAAAAACAAGAGGTGAGGATCATTATCTGGCAATCGTTTCCTCATCTCATGAAAAGGATGCAACCTCTATATTGATGCATTTGTATTCTCCTTCCCTAATTGTCTCACATGCCTGCCTATGCATTCAAACACACAAACACACGTACACAACACACACTACACACACACATACTTACACACAAATACATACACATCGTCACATCCTCATTTCTTTCTTTTTTTATTTTCTGTATTAAAGCTTTTCGCTTACTATCAATTTTCTCCTTTTTGTACGGTATCAAATTTATTTATTTTCTATTTCCAGCAAAGGCTTCTTTGTACATCTCATTTTCCAACATCCACCAAATTACAAATTGTAGTTAAATGTCAACCTCTATGGCTAAAAAAGACTTGGTTGGAGCAACTGGCATTTGATCAATAATATAAGTACTTATTATTGCAAGATTAGATGGAAAAATAAAATAATCCTTGACATTAATATTGTTTATGATCAATTTCCCTTTAATTCTCATTTGCTTATATTTTATTTTAAATGGTATAGCAGCATTTTATTTGTCATGCTTTATGCCTTCCAAAAGCAATTTGAGAACATTTCTATTGCTTCAATAAAACCTCTTTGTGCCAATTTCATGTAGTTGCGCAGTCATATCATAAAGTGGCTGGTGTCAAACAAACCTTCATATTAGTGAAATTCTTTTGTCTGGATTTGTTCCTGCAAAGAGGAAGAATATTAATGAGGCTATATATAGTTTTGCTGGGGGAAAATTATTCTTAAAGGATGCTTTCAGATATAATTTTTGTACTAATTTCAGCAGGTAAATAACTAAATAAACTAGATTTTTAGAGTGCATTATCAAAAGACTCAAACTTATAGCCCAGTTTTTCCAATGTAGAATGTATAGAATCCTAAGATGAACAGTAAAAGTACAATGACTTCTTTCATAACCAAACTACCTATGGAATACAATTTTTAAAATATTATTCAATATATAGTGTGACAGCCTGGCCAGGGTAAATCAGTGGTTGAGCATCAACCTATGAACCAGGAGGTCATGGTTGGATTCCCTGTCAGGGCACATGCCCGGGTTGTGGACTTGATCCACAGTAGGGGGCATACAAGAGGCAACCAATCAGTGATTCTCTCTCATCATTAATGTTTCTATCTCTCTCTCCCTTTCCCTTCCTCTCTGAAATCAATAAAAATGTACAGATTTTTAAAAATACATAGTGTTACAAATCCATAGACCTAAAATACATTTATTCTAATAAATTCAGAAGTGTAAATCTGCAATGGACCTTAGAAAGAATGTAATTTTTCAATTTATACATGAGAAATTGAACACCAAGAAACGGTAAGAAATATGCCCCTGCAAATTTGACTCAAGCCATGGATGAGTATCAGAAAGTTTTTTTGATTTTTATTTGCTTACCATATAAAATGTCCACCATAAAGTTATTAAAGACAAGAATTACATTTTGCTCTTTATTGTTAAGTGTTTTATTTTATAACAAAATGCTCAACTTTTAACAATCTCTAATAAATTATTTATGCGTGCAGCATTGGTTAGGAATTCTCCCAGCTAAAAGTAACAGAAAACACCACTTATGGTGACTTAATAAATATTGATTTATTTTTCTGACATAACCAGGAGTCTTGAGAGAGGCAGCTGGCATTGGTTCAGTGGTTTCAGCGTGTTAGGGTTGGCATTTCTGAAATTCTCCTGGGATTTCCTCATATCTACCTCATAGTCACAAAATGGCTGCAGTAGCTTTCAGCATTCCAGTCTGCCTTCAAGAAAGAAGGAAGAAGGAGCCATGCCACCATGTCTTTCCCTTCTAGCAGGTAAATAAAGTCTTTCATAAAGTTCTTAGCAAGTATATGTCCGTGTCTCCGTGTCCAGGACTAAAGAATATGGGTGCTCTCATTGCAAAAGAGATTGGAAACATGAGAACTTAGTTTTTTCAACTGTCATAATAGAGATGACAATGGAGAAATGGATTTGAAATACCTGAGGGTGAGCTAAAAAGAATAGATTCTTAATTTTAGATAGACAGATAATAGGTAGATAGTAGATGATAGACAGACAGATGATAGATAGATGATGATAGATAGATGATGATAGATAGATAGATAATAGATGATAGATACGTAGATAGAATGATAGATGGATAGATAGATAGATAGATAGATAGATAGATAGATAGATGATAGATAGATAGATAGATGATAGATAAAATATAAAAAGAAAACAAGAAAGAAACAAAGTAAGATATCAAAAGAGAAAACAGGAAAAATGTATTCTACTGCAATCTTAAAACAGAAAAATGAGGCATTTAAAATAAGAAACAGGGAAGACATGAAGCTGCATTTAAATGTTTTCTAAATGCCTTCCATGATGAGATCCCAGAAGCATGCTCAGTGGACTAGTTTCACTAGTGACCAAAGCAGCCAACAGAGAGCGTATGACCATCTCAATGGACATTAAGAACTTGTGTGTTTTGCCAGTTGGTCAGTCAAGGGAAAACTCGGGGAAACTATTGCTGAAAACTCACTTTGAAGTGTCTGAAATTTAAAATCATTTTACTGGGTGAGTAATTTAATTTTTGCATACTCTTCTTAACACAGACTTTGAAAGAACAATATTATTACAATTTGTCATTTGACTTTAAAGGAATTTCCAAGTATTCTGAAAGTGCTATGAATATTTATAAAAGCTCTTTTTAAAAATATATATTTTTAATTTATTTCAGAGAGGGAGAGGGAGAGATAGAACATCAATGATGAAAGAGAATAATTGATCGGCTGCCTCCTGCACGCCCCACACTGGGGATCGAGTCCACAACCAGGGCATGTGCCCTAACTGGGAATTGAACCATGACCTCCTGGTTCATAGGTCAATGCTCAAACTCTGATCCACTCTGGTCAGGCTGTAAAAGCTCCTTTCCTTTCGCTCAGCATAGTCCAGTAGAAAACCCAAGTGGGCCAGATAAATTGCCATAAAATCAAGTCAACAGGCTTACTTTCTCAGTCATACTTGCCCATTTCTCTTTCTCAAAACAAGTGTGAAGGATTATGCTGTCTCCTCATCTTCAATTCTTGCTAGAATCTAATAAGTTCCATGATAGAGGCTCTGTTGTCTTGTTTGCTGCTGTATCTCAAGTATCTCCAACAGTGACTAGTACAATGCAGTCATTCAATAAATAGTTGTTGCCTAAGTAGGTAAAAAAAAAAATCAATCCTTTGTAGATCAATTGCCTACTAGGCAAATGATATTCTCCTTTGAGGTGAAATTTAATACATCAACATAAGCTGCACAGTAATAGAGTTAAACATCAGATCCTTCTTCAGAAAATAGCTCATTGATTAAAATTTAAAAAGAAATTTAGACTATAAATGTCTTAAGAGTGAGAACCACATGCCTATCTTTTTGTCTTCATTGCCAAACCCAGTACCTAGCACATAGTAAGTGTTTGTAAAATGAGTTGCTGGTCAGATTTTATAATGCATAATTACTAAAGTCGTAGCAATCAATACTTTGCTTCAAGCCTTAAAATAAAACTATTTTGACACATTTCCAATACACATACAATCCTTCAACTCCATTCTTAAGAATGGTATTTAACCTCTAAACATTCACCTTGTCAATTAGTGGCTAATGAAAATCTGAGAGGAAATTCATAAAGCCCAAGTCAGAGTAAAGCAAACATTTATACATGCATGTGCACATACACAGGTCATATAGCTCTCTTTTCTCATATTATTCTGGGCTTGTAAAATAAATTGTTCTCAAAGAGAAAATAAAGCAGTCAACCTAGAATCCTAGTGGATTTGTCTCTAAGAACACAGAAGCAAATCACTCTATGAAGAGCAGGATTCTATAAAATAGTGTTTATTAATTTATACCTATGCAATTCCTACAACAAGTGTAAATGAAGATAGTGCATTTCTTTATGGCTAGAGGATGAAACGCATTGCTTTTTTTGAGATTAACTCTTTTTTATTGGCACCCAAAGCATCCTTAAAGCAGAGCTCCCATGAATGCCATGGTACACACCATTCCACAACAGAGCAGCCGGTGAGGTACAATATTTGCATCTTTAACAAATCAAATGTTGCATCATTTAAATACTTTTAAAATGGGTTTACTTTTTCAATTGTGATATTTTTACAGTTACATGCAAGTGAGCATGATCCCATGTTCATATGCTGTGGGTATAAATGTACACATTTAAAAGCAAGCCCTATAATTCGTTCAACTCCTACTGATTTCAGCAAAACCATAAGCAGTCAGTATTCCTCTCCCCTAACTGCAAGCACAAATATATTTTCAGTGTAAGCATTTTATTCCATAATGAAAAGGAGCGACAACAACAACAAAAGATCCAAAGCAAAATGTTCAAAGACAGAAATAAGTCAGTTGCAAACAAAAGGCTGATTGAAGCCCTGTTATTAGGTGAATGCATATTTAAGACTGCTCTGTTCTTTTGATGAATGGACATTCTTATCATAATAAAAATTTCTCCATATTTAATTTAAAAAAAGAAAACAGAAGGCTGGAGTGTTCATTAAACATTACCTTTTTCTCATGGTGAGGAAGATGCATCACGGTCATTTCTGTGTTTTCTCACAGTGCTGATTTCAAACCCCCAGCTGAGAAGGCAGCTGTGCGGAGCAGGGAGCTGGTGAGCGCAGCAGGAGTCCTGTTCCCTGATGCTACCCCCAGAAATCCATGCCTTCTTGCAGTTGCTGTGTTGTCATTAGTAATGCCAGAAATATGAAATGCTGTCCTCTTTTCTGCAGCAGTGATACAAAGATCACAGCGATGTGTCTTTAAAGACTTCCAAAGCCTGAACCACCCTCTTTTTATTGTTCTTTATTTGATGTAGCTTCCAGAGAGCAAGCACTGGCTACTTTTCAAGGAATTTGAAATTCTGGAGAACTTTCATTAATCATTATGCTAATGGAATAGATGGCAAAACAGACATGAAAGTTGAAGCATATGGGAGAGGGGATGGTAAGGTTGATTTTTCCCCTCCCGATACCAAAAAAGAAAGGAAAGAAAGAAAGAAAGAAAGAAAGAAAGAAAGAAAGAAAGAAAGAAAGAAAGAAAGAAAGGTCATATCCTATGAAAGACGACACTTAGGACATGAACCTGATTTTGATAACTGTTATTAATTTCAGGAGGGAAATCCATATTAAAGGTTTCAAGAAACTTTTATTTTTCATACCAAAAAAAAAAAAAAAAGAAAGGAAAGAAAGAAAGAAAGAAAGAAAGAAAGAAAGAAAGAAAGAAAGAAAGAAAGAAAAAGAAAGAAAGAAAGAAAACTTCACTGTTATACAGCAATTTTTTTCTAGGTTGCAGCTATGAAAACCTTACCTAAAAAAAAAAAAAAAACACTATATCTTATGTCTGAGATTAAGGTAGCAATATGAAATTAACTGCCACCTAAAATCAAGCTACATTTCTTAAAAGCTCTTGAAAATTGAATTAATTTGTCTGTTTCCATCCAGTAGCATTAAAAATGGTTTATGAACTACTGGGGAAATGACTTAAAAAATAATTACAGGGAAACTACTGAACAACAGAAGGGCTGCAGTTGCTGGCTGCAAGGCATGATTGATGTTACAAGATTGTCATAAGTGAATTAACTGTGTCATATTCAGAGCTAGGAATTCTGGTGGGGATTAGCCTTCAACATCAAAGAAAAAATAATTCGTTGTATTTCTGAAGGTAGCATAGGTGTTAAATATATATTGTAAAGTATTTATAAACTCTATGTTATATCCACACATATATACTATATGCCTAATGTATAAAATTACATTTCTATGCATAAAATACATATGTGTTGCTATGTATATTCAGGGATATTAGGCTTCAATAGCTAAAATAATATTTACTATGTTTCAATACTTTAAATAATTATAAAAATATTTAAAATAAACCTTGAACACTTTCAATTTTCATATTTTACTCAATTTATGTTAGACATCAAAAGACAATGAATGAACAAAAACTCTCCCTTTAAACAGGTTCAACAACAAGAAAAGAGAAGATTCAGACATAACTTGGCTCAAGAAACTCCCACAAACACTAAATAGTAAAATCTGTTTTTATGTTGTATTACTTAATGAACTTTTATTCATATTTTTAAAATCTTGAACAGTAATTTTAATATATATTTTATTATTGAGTATATTTCTGTTATTACCTGAAAGCAACAATCAAATATCCAAGTCAGTAAAAATTACTGACAAAGAGGAATACATTTTAAGAGTGTCTTTTATTTATATTTAGCAATTTTATAAGTCAATTTTGGAAAAGATGTAGAGCTGAAAGATTAACATTTAGAATAATTTATCTAAGGATTATGTCATCCAATAGGTATTTATGACAATGTACTTGGTGTCTAGAATTTTATCTTGCTAATTTAAAACCAAGATTACATCAAACAAAATTTCAGATAACACACATTATGGAGTTATTTCAGAAAGTCTCCTTGGTATTTCAAATGGAATTCCAACCAAAAATATTTGGAAGACTAAAAAAAAACTAATACATTTTTTTATGACTGCAGAACAAATGGCCACAAATTTAGCAATTTAAAGCAAAATAGTCATCTCATTTTGAAAATTTAAATGCACTATTTTTATAAATAAGTTTAAAAATGTTGCCTTAGCATCTTGTTGTATGATCATAATAATTTTTTTCATTTACCCATTCATTTACAATACCTATTGTTTTGACTTCTGCAAATAGTTGAAATTTTGCCCTGAAGAAATTATATAAGTATTTTGTCTACTGAAACACTATTTCTAAAGATAGCAAATATTTCATTTTAGTCTCAACACATATATGCAAGGCCATTCAAAGTGCTATGCTTTATTAGAAAATGAAGACAATAAGAAATTGAGCAGATAATATCTACAATAGTAATATCTTAGAGATGCATTTTACCATTCTCCAAAATAATTTTAGATACCCACAAAACACAGATAAAAAAGAGTGACCTCACAAATAATTATAGAAACTCAAATCAGTTCAAAATTATATTCTATTTTTGCCTATTAAATAATTTTTAAAATATAAAATTTACAATAACAATGGAAGTGCAGTATTATATATTCCTGTTGATAGTCCAAACTGGTGTATGACAGTTTGACAGGAAAATAATGACAACAGAGAAATCAAAGGGGAAAAATGACCAGAAATTAGTATTAATGGCCATGTCTGGGATATTTTATTTATAATGGTGCTCAGCATATGACATCAAAGAATTGAAAAAGTGAAAAAAATGAACTGTTCAACAGTAAATAAATCATTCCAGAAAGTGAAAAATCAGTGCTGGCAACGGGCAGAGTGAGGCTGTGATGAGCAACATACACAAAACATCAATACTCATCTGTGAAGTGTGGCTGTGACCAGGTCTGAAACAAGACAGAGACCAGGACTATCAACAAACACAAAAAACCACCCAACATCCCCTCTTTGTACTAACCCAAGTGACTACTACTTATTTACCAATGATAACACAGCACCACTTTAACCTTCCCACCACCTAGAGAATTGCCAAGATAGCCAATACCTGAATTGGCCCTATTTTTGACAGCATCCAATTCAGAAGTGACTCCCTCCTCTTTAAGCCCCATTTAGAACCACCCACCATAAGCCAAATCTTTAAAAACCATCTCCAAGACCCTTCTACTGAGACCTCCACAGTTTCTCTGGAGAGAACTCGCCCTTGCTTCATCAAGCTAAATAAGCTTACTTTGTTTCTCTCCAATGTGTTCTCCTGGATTTTGGCTGGTAGATTTCAGTAAGTACTTGACCTAGACCTTAGAAAATGGGGAAGGTATAGAGGGGAAGAAGGAAGATTCAACCTGGAGTGATGACATACCCATCTGATAAATTAGGAAACTAAATTTTAGATTGGAGATCATCACTCCAAGGGTCATTCAATGGATTACAAATTACAAATTAAATCAGCTCTCACATGTGTCAAAGATTTATTTCTGTGGGAGTCAATCGTCACTTGCTGAAGTATCTTCCCTGAGCCAAGGAAGGTTCACACCAAAAAGCCACCTAAAAAGCTTCAATGAGAACTTTCTGATCTAAACCAGTTGTCCCTCACAGACACCATCCATCTACTAGGATTGTCCTCACAAGACTACAAAGAGATTTCTCTGATACCCTGCTACATTTTTATGTTCTTGTAACTCTGGGTTGGGCCAAAAATTACAAAAATAGGAGGAAATACTTCTTTGAAATTAACTAGCTTTAAAAAAAATAGAGGAAAAGAAGATCAGTCAGATTTTGATAGAGAAAACTTATGCCAAGTTCTAAAGGCATAAAAATGCCAAGTGCAGGAAAGGATATATTTCAAACTTTAAATTGGGTCTGGAAATGTTGCAGGGATAGATACATATGGCAGACAAACAGAATGCATGCCAAAAGAGGCAAAATGAGTGTGAGAAGGTGTGAAGATTGATCTGTGCATATGGGGAACATTAGCCAAAGAAAATATCTGTATAGGAAATGGGCCACATTTGTACAGACAGGCGAGACCAGTGGAAGAAGTTGTGAATGTGCTATGAATGAGGAACCAGAAAAATTACAGTTTGACATTTTAGTATATTTTTTCTTTTTATATTTTTATTTATTTCAGAGAGGAAGGGAGAGGGAGAGACAGAAACATCAATAATGAGAGAGAATCATTGATCTGCTGCCTCCTACATGCCCCCTACTGGGGATCGAGCCTGCAACTTGGGCCTGTGCCCTGACCAGAATCAAACCATGACCTCCTGGTTCATAGGTCAATGCTCAACCACAGAGCCATGCTGACCTGGGCCAGTTTGACATTTTAAATGGTCTTAGATTCTATTTATTCCCCCCTCTGATTCAAAATAAGTATTTTACTTCTTTATCTAGAACCATCCCTTTCCTCTTTTCCATTCGATTAGCATAGAACGCATGAAAGAAGCCTGCTGCTCTTGTAGAGTTTAAATGTAGACATATCTAGGAGGAATCTAGAAGGCATGACCAAATATTTATTTTGTCTTATTTCATGTTTTCCCATTAATGATTAGAGAGTCAGCACTAATCGGAGGGGTTAGCGAGGAGGGTATCACATGAAATGTAATAGAATGACTCATATGTTAAGGGAAGATTTTAAAATAGAATACATACTGAAAAGTATTATTACTCTGAAAAGGTAGAAGGCATAGCATTCTTGTGTCTAGTTTCAAGGGGTCCTATTTATAGAGACAACTCTATTAACATGTATTGAGCCATGACAAAGGTATTTTCACATTTCAACATCATCTTAGTTAAAAGCAAAAGCTCATCTGGTGACTTGGTTTTAATGTTATATAAAATATATATGACTGGAATAATTACATAATGTTCATAACAAATGATCTCGAAATCTTAGAAGCTTAAAACAACAAATATTTATTATCTCACATTTTCTGTGGGCCAAGCACCCTGCTGCGGCTGAGCATGGTCCTCAGGCTCATGGGCACCCACAAGGCTACAGTCATGACAAGACTTGACTGAGAGAAGATGTACTTTCCTGGCAACTACTGATCTGGCTTCTGTTTCCATAGTGCTTCCAAGTCCTTAATCTCATGTAAATAGAATCATGAAGTACATAGCCTTCTAATATTGGGTTTTTTATTAGTAACTAGAGACCCGATGCATGAAAATTCATGCAAGAGTAGGCCTTCCGTACCCCAGCTGCCAGCACCGGCTTCCCTCTGGCACCCGGGACCCAGGCTTCCCTCCTCCAGCCACCGGCAGCCCCCCGGGACACCAGCTGGTTTTCCCCGGGCCCCCAGCAGGCACCCGGGACCCAGGCTGGCTTCCTCCCGCCCCGGCTTCATCAGGAAGGACATCTGGAATGGCAGCCCCCCCG